TTCAAGACATTTCCATCAGCTTAGACATCTCCATGGAATAAGAATGGGGGTTATATGTTTATTTGTTGCAATGAAACCATGGATAAAGATATTAAGATGCAGTTGTGTTGTTTGCCACTAAGCTATTGTGACTCTATACGGGCAATTTCTCCCGGAATGCCTCTTTTCCTTTACAATGAAACAACTCGTTAACTTCATAGAATTTTTGAAGCACTCAGTTTTGGGGGTTTTAATATAGATTCCATAGTCCGGAAAGATATCAACTATAATGACACTTCTAGGTTTCCCGCACAGGTGAGGATTCGTATTAAAAGCTCTGCAAGCCCCTTGAAGAGAATGCATGCAGGCCAATTTTACAAAATTATTGTGACCCCACTATTAGTTTTGAGCTGAGAGTTGTAGAAACCTTGGCCCTGTTAGATTTGTACGAGAAACAGGACATGGAGCTTAATGAAGCTTTTGGGAAGAGCAAATTGAAGCAAAGGATTTACCTTGCTTAGATTGATTATATGTTTGTTGTTATAATTCTATAGTTAGTTTGATTTTGTGGTTTCTTAGCCTTATTTATTGTATTTTTAACGTGTTTAATTGTCTTCTATTTTCAAAGGGTTATTGCATGTTTCATGTGATATTGATAAAATGTTTGTCTCACTTCTACAAATACTAGACAGAATGTTTCTTTATCTTATTTTTACTCACAACATTTAGAATAATTAGTCTGTTATATTTGACTTCAGGCCTTCAGCAATATCTTACACATGTCTACTTATTTTCATTGAATAATCAAAGTTAAATGAATTCTTTCCCACTTGATTATTGAAATGTAAATTTAATTATCGGTGTAATATTAACTAATTTAAACTAAAATAAATTATGAAACCCTTAAATATTTAATAAATATTTAGCAAACTATTACTTTTTTTTTTACCATCGATATAAAATCTTCAAACTATCTCATTTAAAAGGAAAGCAAAGATAAACAATAACACGATTAATCTCAAACCATTTAATGAGCTAAATTTAATTAATCTTAAATCAAAAGCTATTAATGCTATGCTTTTCGATAAAGTCAAATATCTTTCCTAGATGAAAAGTGTAAATAAATAGAATTATTGTTGTCATGAAGGCTTTGATTTGATTTAGAGTGTTTAAAGATTGATTATATAAAGAAAGATTTACATACATACCACTTAATTTTGATGTATTCACATATCTAACACCGAAACTTTAAATTTTACCCCTGGCTCCTTAGTGGGTCATACTTGAGTTAATGCATATTTGAATGCATATATTTAGCCTTCAAGTTCTTTTACCTCTTTTTAAGTATGTCATGAGAAGAATAAATGAATTAAGAACATTCGATGATCGATTAATAATCATTAATGTCTTAATGATCATGATTAATGTGGCACTTCTTTTGCTTGCAATTCATGCCGCTTTATAAATAGGGTTCAGTGGCACTGATGAGGGCTCACATTTTTCCCCTTCAGTAAAGCCTCATCTCTTGAAGTATTTGTTACATGTGAAACATGAAAATCTCAAATGATAAGATTGATGTTGCGGACGGAAATGCAATATTATTCAACAAGAAGAAAATGACCAAAGGCTATTGTAAAAAGAAGATAAAAGGAGAGTAAGAATTGTGGAAGCGAAGAATGTTAGCGCTCTCATAACAACATCACCGTATCGGCCTTTGCTAGCTTTAGAGCTATCTCGAATGAGTTTAAGGGCTTGAGCGACCATTCCCTTCTTGCATATAATTATAGGTTTAACAAATTAGTGCTAAATTCAATACTCATTTTTAAGGGTTTATCATTGAAAGTGAATTTGTAGGGGAAGAAAATTTTCACAACTTTGTTTATAATGAGTGAGATTTTTTTGTGATGAATCCTTCGTTGATCAATTTGTTTTACAATCAACTTCTAGTTTGAAGGATCGACCTCAAGAAGCCCTTTCAACGACCATGAGCTCTCCTATGATGGTGACAGATTCAACATTGCAGCAAGTTGAGGAATTATCCTTTGGGGTCAGTATGTTAAGGTTGACCATAAACACTAATAAGTTTGTTTTCTGAACATTTGACTATGTTGAAATCTTGCATTGAGATGATATTAGCCATCCACAGTGAAGTAATAAGTTTGTTTTCTGAACATTTGACTATGTTGAATTGCATTGAGATGATATTAGCCATCCACAGTGAAGTTATATTATTTACATCTCAATACAAGGCTAGGGCTAGTAGCCCATGGAATTAACTTGGCCAGATCAATTTCTCACCAGTGGCTAGTTTTTTTGAAGTGTCTAATGGATAATGATAGAATTCCAAATGAGGTCGCTATGGACCGTGAGATTTAATTTTTTATAATAAGCTTTCATTTTTAAGGGGCTTAATTGTGAGTCACCCCCATCTAATGTGATAATAATTTTTTTATAAAAGCTTTCATCTTTAAGGGGCTTAATTATGAGTCACCCCCATCTAATGTAATAACAAGGTGAATTGATTCTCCATCTAATGTAATAACAATGTGAATTGATTCTTTAGTATTAATTTCATAAAGTTTCGGATGTTATATTTCAGCAACAGCATGAAACATTGGTACTTAAGCTAATGTGAAACTCGCATTGTTGGATGTGACTAAAATGCATGCAAAATGATTAAAAAAATATTAAAAATTCAAATACTTAGAAAAGGTTGAAAAATGAAATTAAATTTTTGATTTTTGAAACATATAACAAAGTGGTTCGCCTTGATTTCTTTATCTTCCAATCTTACTATAAATAGGTTGTTAGGGATCATGTACAAACTTTTTACTTAATCCCTCGAACTATTAAGACCTCGCTTTCATCTTTCTCCTCTATAACCCTCTTAGAAACAAAACTATACTTATTATGTCATGGGTTCTCTCCTTTGGTGCAGTGGATCATCCCTTGATAGTTAGATGGTAGGTCCATCATGCTTAACGACGATGAATACGAATTTGATTTAGATGAAATTTATCTTCAATAATAGATATCAATTGAGAGCCACTAAAAACGGTGAACTCCCAAACATGACTTTCAAGGACAAGCTATGCTACTACAAATACCAATTATCTTTGGTTGCATTTTCTCTTATGCCAAGAGCACATAGATATCTTCAACTTCCATAATGTCATACCAGTGCAAGTAATTTTGCAATACTATTCATGAGGAATGAGAAAATATCATGATCGCCACATATTCATATAAAAGCTTATAAGAACAGTTTTGACATGCTCTCCTCTATAAACATCAAGGTGATTAATTTAGAAAGTAAAATAAAGTTTCGGATAATTCATTACTATTTTGTCAAATGCAAAGACAGGCAGCGGATCTCCCCCAAGCCACTGAAGTTCTCTAAGGATAAATACTAAGTTTCTTCACTAAATGATCCAAAATTACAACATTTCTGATAGCTAGATGGAGTGGAGCTCAAGGTAATAAACTATAATGATCATGAGATGCTCCAAAGAATGCTAACTCATAAGTGCACCCTTATTATTTTATTTGGTAATCTGCATGTGCGAAGTTCCCTTAGCATGTTTATATTGTACTCAACTCTCTAAATTTTGCAGCTCTCATTGAAGAACTGTCTCTAGAGAAGAATGTAGTGGTACTCCTGAAGGAGGATGGAGAGAAAGGAGAAGCTGGAAGGGAAGGGAGTTTTAAAGGAGACTGCTCTATTGTAACACTTACCTTTTGAATCTGCTTTCTAATAATAAAAGTCAGGCTATGATTCTTACTAGGAGCTTCTCGTCAATTTTATACTCTCAAGAAGAAACAGACGAAAAGAAGGAAGAGTAGGATGTTTATGATAACAAGCGCGCACCTCTTAGTGGCACTGTGAATAGTCTACCCTAGTCATTAAGTTATCTGCCCCAACAAAGAGCATGATTCAATTTAGCAAGGACCTTGGCATGGTGAAGTTTGACATGGCTATCAATTGAAGGGCCCCTTCTAAGTTGTTATCCCTGCTAGCATTCAAGCTCGGCCATGTAATTATGTCACATCTTTGTTGGACAAGTGAAGAAATTGGCAGCCTAGGCTTTCCAGTTTGAAGTGATGAAGTTTAATGCAACCTCTAAGCAACTTAATCATATAATGGTTGTGAACGATAGAAAGGTGTCAAAGCAAATGCTTCAATTAAAGTCAACAAACATTGCTATCGCAGGCAAGAATGTCGGGCCTCTAAGCAACTTAATCATATAATGGTTGTGAACGTTGCTATCGCAGGCAAGAATGTCGGCCTGAATTAGGCCAAAAACATATAAATGAAGTAAATGTTGTACAACTCGATTTGCAAGCTTCAAGATGAACTCCATAACAAAAAATTGAGCCTATTTATGGCTTACAATATGGTCGAGAAGCGTTAGAAGGAGCTTGATTGCTCATCACCGAATGGCCAAGCTCAAAGATCAAGTATGTCAAATAGAAGAGAGCACTGCCAAACTAAAGACCAGTGACGAGTATTATGACAACCACACTCGGCCAAAAAATGATTGAAATATTTTGAAGACGAGTTCATAGATGGAATATAATTTTGCCTGGCTATATTGGTAAAAGGGTATTATCTTGTCAGCTAAGTATAAAGAGATGACAAAATTTTTAGTTCTCACCTAAGAGTCGATCTTGAATGGAGAAAGAGAGTGATGATGAGCATAGTGTAACAAACGAACAATGCATATTTTGTCTTTTTCTTTTTCATATTATGGGATTTACATTAAGAAATTTTAAATTTTAAAGAGAGGAAATTTTTTCTCCTACATAATCCTTTTGGCATGCTTTTTATATAAAAAATCAAAACCCAAAAAGGTACACAATTAAATAATTGGTCACTATAATGATAAACTTTACGTGTTTCGAATTGGCAAAGTGTTGGACACCTGAAGTTTGAGCACAATTGAAAATATCCAACTAATATGCTACATATTTGAGCACAATTGAAAATACAGAAGCGCCAATGGCCATATAACAGATAACGATGAATCTAAAACGGTATTCACCATAGCTTTCATTTGAAATAAAAGGTTTGCAGACACTTAGTGGAACATAAAGCAAAAATTTCTACCAAAATGATACAACAATAAATTAAAATTAACTTAAAAGAGAACAAAAACAATGCCCAATCAACTATTTGGTTGCCAGCAATTTGAATATAAATTGAAAGGGCCGATCATCTGAAGTGTTTCAGAGATTCTCATAGATAACTGACTTCAAAGCTTTTCTCAAAACATATATCAATCCTCACCTTCATTTTTCCTCTTCTTCTTCTTCTTCATCTTGCCATCGGTGGCCATTTCTATATCACCAACATTTGCCGCTTCTCGGTTTTTCTTTTTCTTCTTGGCAGGTCCATTTTGATCAGTATCATGACCATTTCCCAGGTTCACCGCAACTGCAACGTCCACCTCCTCTACATCCTTTTGCTTCTTTTTCTTCTTCTTCTTCTTCTCAATTCCAGGCTCAAGCTTATCCTCTTCCATTGGTTCTAATTCCTGGACCTCTTTGGTTTTGTTCTTCTTTCTTTTCTTTGCAGAATGTTCTGCATCTTTATTTTCAACACCTTTTTTAAAGGCAAATTAAAAGTTAATGCACATGATAGGAAAAAAAAATGAATATATAAGAAAAAATAGGTCAAATTTTTTAAAATATATATATAGCAGTTCATCCACAGTGAACATTAGTCGTGGAACAAAGCAAATCAAATTAAGAACTGGAATATATCAACCAAAATACTGAATTAATTTTGGGGACTTGGATTGAGCACAAGAAGAAATTGAACGTGCCAAGTCTTTTTAACCAAATCAATTTTCTATCCGATTGTGAGAAAGCTGAAGATCAGAATGTAAAACAGCATCAACTGGCCTTTATTAATCAAATAAATATTTCCTTACACATATCTCCTCAGATTCTCGAGTGTTTCAACTTCTCACATGCTTTCCCCGTTCACTTTTAGCTCTCCTCCTTTATAGAGACGCTGAGAAGCTAACGTGCATGGTATGTGGATGGATGGTAGGAGGCGAGCTCCACGCCCTGATTGTTGCCTTGAAGTTACTATGAGGACCATGTGATTATGGCTCTGTTTACCACCTCTTATGCTGAGGAACCATGGTTTGGAGAGTCAGCTGGTCGGAAATGAGTCTGTGTCTGGATGGGGATATGGATTTGGTGAAAACGTCAGCTATCTGATTTGGGGACATGATGTGGTGTAGAGTAATCTCTACATGTTTAATATGGTCCCTGATGAAGTGGTAATCTACCTCGATGTGTTTAGTTCAGGCATAGAAAATAGAATTGTGTGCGAGGGCTATTGCGGATGTGTTATCAATGTAGAAGGATATGGATGGAAGTAAAGGGATGCGGGCGGAAGCTTGGTCTATAAGAGTTCTTGGAGAAGGTGGATTAGCCAGACAATGCCTGTTGTGACTGAAGGGCCATTGTTCTATATTCTGCTTCTGCAGACGATCAAACTACTGTTGGTTGTTTTTTTGCTAACCAAAGGACGAGATTTGGTCAGAGGAAGATGCAAAATCCAGTAATAGAGCATTTGTCTTCAGGATTGGTGGCCCAATTCGCATCTGTGTATGCTTGGAGTGTCAGGCCCCTTGATGCAATTGGTGCTCTGTGATATCCTGTTCCATTAACATATCATAGTACTCGTTTGAGGAGCTGGGTGTGGTGTGTGAGAGGTCGACGCACGTGTTCGCTGAGAAAGTTTACAGTGTAGGTGATGTTGGGTCTGGTTAAGGTGAGGTATTGGGGAGAACCTATGGTTTGGCAAAATGTTTCTGGGTCGTTACAAATGGGACTGTCGGGGTTGGTTTTGAGGGAGGAGGGTAGAGAGTGAGGACAAGCTTTGATTCAGCCGTTCAAGTTGCTTGTAGTATATCTAGTCAAAATTTGTTTGTTCAAGGAAGCAGTCGCTAGGTGTGTGATGGAATTGTTGTCCTAGGAATTGTGAAATGGTTGCTTGAGTTAAGTCGGTTGCCTAGTTTGTGGATGTGTTGCCTATGATGAGGATATTGTCAACGTAAAGGAGGAGAAATTGGTTATGTTCTGTTTGATATAGATGAAGAGGAAGTGATCTGCGGCGCTGACTATAAAGTGTTGATTATAACAATAGAGGAGGAATGTGGAGTACCATTGCATGGGGACAGATTTCAATTCATAAATAGCTTTGTGCAGGCGGCAAACAAAATCCGGGTTTGAAGGGTCTTTGAAACATGGTGGTTGAGACATGCATATTGAGTCTTCTAGCTTGCCATGAAGAAAGGCATTAGAAACATCAAGTTGTTGAACGTCCCACTTATTTGTTGTTGCAATAGCCAAGAGCATGTGTACGATAGGGAAATTGGCCACTGTGCTGAATGTTTGATCGTAATCGATGTTGGTTTTTTAGCACAGCCTTGTGCTACTAGTCGGGTCTTATATCTAGCAACTGTGCCATCAGTTGTTGTCTAGAATGTTCTGGCCTTTGGGTGATGGTACTAAAGTCCATGTGTCCTATTGTTGAAGGGCCAAAAATTTAGTGGACATTGCCTGGCGCCAGTGAGGCAGCTTACTGGCTAGGGAATAGAAAGTTGGATCTGGTGAGGATATGGTGTGGTTGAGGACGAGTATATGGTGTGGTTTGAGGGGTCCTATATGTTGTCGTGTGATCATGGGGTATTGTTTGGGTAGGGGGTGTTGAGGAAGGGAGGGTACTAATTGGGAAAATGTGGTGATGGGTTGCGGGTTTGATGAATGGGCTGGTGTGTTGGGGATAGCAGCTTAGCGGTTGATGGTTATAGAGGTAGAGTTGATGTGGGAACAAGGAGAGATGGTGGTGTGGGAAGCAACTGGTTTGGTTCTGGGGAGGAGGTGAGTTTGCTGAGAGGGAATGTTTTTTTTTATAAATGTGACATGCATGGATAGGATTATTTTGTTGGTGGTGGGGTCCCAATATTTGTATCCCTGGTGTTGGGAGTTGTAGCCAAGGGATATACATAGGGGTGATTTTGTGTTGGGTTTGGTTTGCATTTGTGGTTGTTGACATGGAAAACAGATGCAGCTAAAGGTACAGAGATGATCGTAGGGGGGATTTTATTTGTAGAGTATCTCATGTGGTGATTTGTTCTTGTTTGTTTTGGATTGTAGGATGTTGATGAGATGTATGGCAGTCAGAACTAAATCCATACAAAATGACAGAGGTATGTGGGTTGAATTGAGCAAAGTTTGACATTTTTCAGCAGGATGGTTTTGCTAGGGAGTACATGGGCATGAGAGTTGTTTGATTCCATGATTTGCATATATGGTTTTAGTTGGTTAGAGGTGTATTCACCTCTCCCATCACTGCGTTGAAGTGTTCAAGTAAATATTTGTGTAGGTGAATGAAGTGGTTGGTTGTCTCAGATTTTGTGTACATTGGAAAGATCCAACAGTAACGAGAATGAGAACCAATGAAAGAAACATAATATTTATATCCATTCATTGATTGAAGGGAAAAAAGGCCCCATACATCTGAATGAATAAGTTCTAGAGAGTCGTAAGAAGCATTGCTTGTAGAGAAAACTAATCTATGACTTTTGTTTTGGTGGCAGGTGGAGCATGGTGACTGAGAGGTGGGAATTCGAAGATTTGGTGAATCTTTGGATACTTGGTAGAGTACTTGATGGTGTGGTTGTCCTGGTCGTTGATGTATGTTGATTGGAGAGGGGGAGGTATGGTAGGCTTGAATTGTGTAGAAACCTTGCTGAGCTGGGCCAGTAAGTAGGTTCTTCTGTGTAGTTCGATTCTGTATATAGTAATTGTTAACAACAAAGGAGAGAATGCAATTGTTGTCTTGGGCTAGCTTTTAAACAGAGAGAAGGTTATAAGAGAGTTAAGGAAGATGCGAGACAGAGAGGAGAGGAGATTGATCTTACTAGTGGGAGTGGGAATGATGTTTGATCCCGTATGAGAGATGCTAGTGGCTTGAACATTGCCTATGGTGACATGTTCGACGCCTTGATAGGGATTGGGAAGCTGTAGATTTTCTACGTGAGGTGTGCAGCTGCACCTATGTCGAGAATCTAGATTTGTGGTGGGAAGTTGTTGGTGTTGTGAGGGCAATGTGATGAGAAGGTGGGTTTGGTTTGTATTGGAGGTTGGCTCGGTGCCAGCATTGTGAATGTTGAGTAGTCTGGTTTGAGGCATATTTGGCATGTGAAGTTTGTTTTTGTTTTGGTTGGGTTGATGTTTGTAGGGATTGCTTTGGTTGGGTTGGCATTGGTTGATGGGTTGGTTTTGGTTTTGTTGGTGTAGAGAGTTGTGGTGGGTTGTTGTTTCATGGTTCTGATGGGGTTTAATTTCGTGTGTATGGCTGTTATGAATCCTTGATATTGGGTGATAAGCCATTCAACGTGTAGAGGATGATATCCTCCGTGTCAGTTAGAGCTCCTGCAGTGACAATGTTATCGGCCATAGTTTTCGTGTTTGTTAAATATTGGGACATTGTGTTTCTCCCCTTTGTGATGTTGTGTAGGTTGTTTTTTAGCTAAAGGACTTTGGATCTGTTCAACCATTGGAATCTCCTTTCGAGTGTGGACCATATTTCATTTATGCTATGAAGGTTTAACACATATGGTAGGATTGATGTGGAGATGGTTGATAAGATTGCTACTATAAATTTTTTGATCGACCAGTTTCCATAATTTGAAATATGGATATTCTTCAGAGTTGTCCGAATCAGTGTGTATAAATAGAGAGGGAATAGGCATGTTCTCTGCAAGGAGTTCTTCGAACCCATTTGCTATAAACAATTAATGTATCTTAGTTTTCCATACCTGATAATTATCAAATTGCAAAGGTAATGTTGATATTGTTTTGATGTGAGACATCAGAAATTTAAGTGGTGCATGTTGATCTCCATCCTTGTTTAATGGCATGGTGGACTACTGGCTTGATCTAATGGTAGAGGAGCCTGGAGATTCCATGTTGTCAAGTTATTGCTCTTAACCATGTAAAACAGCGCAAAGACTACTCAAGTTGTCCTGTATTAATCAGGTAAGAATTTTCATACATTCATTTCCTCACATTCTCAAGTGTTACACCTTCTCACATACTTTCCCCCTAACCTTCTCTGCCCTAGCTCTCCATCCTTTATAGAGACGCTAGGGAGCTGATCTTCGTAGAGCTACAGTAGATATGGCGAGAAAACGAAGCGCGCGTGGTATGTGGATGGATCAGAGGAGGCGAGCTCCACACCCTGGTTGTTGCGTTGAGGTTATCTATGGGGACTATGTGAGCATGGCTCTGTTTGTAGATCAACCAAGCTCTCAATTGGCTGATTTCTTTTAAATATTAGCTATATATATTCCTCCAACTCTACAAAAGACTGATAACATAAGTCAATGGTTGTGTGGCTTGTTGATAATTTAATTGTGGCTTCTCTTCCAATAGGTATAAATTTGATTCCCGCACAGATCACTTTTTGCATTTTTTGATGGCTGGAAAATTAAAGATTCATGGATTGTTGACAACAGCTCAATCATTTTTAACTTTATATGTATAGCTTAGCCTCTTCGCTTCACCCATTGATATTAATCTCCTTCACACTCACATATTTCATAAATCTTGACTTTATGGAAAACAACTAAAGACGAAACAACTCATAATCAAACAAATAGGTTTGAGAAAGACTGAAATCATAAGCATTTGATTGACAAGCCAATCTTGAGCCAACTACTATTCGATCGATTCACTCTCAATTTGATACTAAATATACTCAAAATAGGCGCATTCTCGCTCCAAGTCAAATCAAGCCAATTTAGTACTATGCTATTATGCTAAATACTTAATGAAATGTGCTACCAAAATCAATAACTTCAAATAACTGTACTTGCACATTGAAGTGTAAAATAAATAAATATAATAATAAGAAAATCTAATAACTCATAAACACAAACCTTCTTCCTCATTTTGTTGTATTGTAGCTTCAATGGCAGCTTTCATGACATCAACATTCTTGCGAGGTGCAACTCCTTTATCATAGAAATCCAACCTCTCTTCAACCTGTTCTCGAAGTTTCTCTCCAAATATGGTGGTATTCATATCTGAAAAAAATTAAGAATGAGTGTCAAATAAGGCAAATGTTGTTTAAATATGCAAGAACCATAACAAAAATAAGGTTTTATATTCAATGAGGTTCTGCTTGCCTGAAAAACAGTCAATACGAGATGCAATTGAACATTTGTTTGCAAGATAACGAGCTAAACGTCCTTTGTTTCGAGCAGAAGCACGTCCAATAAAAGAAGAATGGAATATTAAACCATACTTTGGAGTATTTCCTTTAGTTTTCAATGCTCTAAAAGATCAAAAATGTTTCAACATATTAATGATGATCAGCAATACAAAATAGATAGTAACACTAAAAAGGCATTTGCAGTAACATCTGCTCTTTGTACTCAATATATGTCACAAGTAGCATATATACTACTACAAGAGGAACAAACTTATCAAAGATACATGATTAATCATGGAATGCATATAAATGACAGAGTTCAATGCATAAAATTTCATAACTGCAACATGAAAAAACTAGCCTTTCAACAAATTTAACACAAAACCATTTTCTTAACATTAGTTCTATAAAAAAAAGACTAAAATTTTCAAATAGTGACCTGAAAAGCGCTTTCTCAGCACCAAGTATCTGAAGAGTCGAAGAAGGGCACTTAGCTAAATTTGAGAGGCTTCCGGCATGAGAAATAAGTCTTGCTCCCACAATTTCACCAATTAAAGAAGTCAAATTTGGTGCAATGTCATTCATCTTTGTGATTAGATACTGATATAACTTATTCCTATATGCAGACAAATCCATAACCTTCTGTGCAAACTGCTGGACATTAATCAAATCAATTGGAGACAGGTCCTGTCCTGTAAATGCAGAATAAGTGGAGAATGAAGTCAGCGGTATTAAACACAAAATGAACATCTTTAATTTTTTTACCCATGGATGCTTTAGCAGCTTCTACAATGTTCTTCGCCTTCTCCTCATCACCAACAATATCAGCCAACTGCGGAACATGATCTTCCGATAAATTTGATTTGTCGTCAACAAACTTCGCAATTTTTGCATACAGATAGTTATCATTGACGATTTTAACGAGTTCTGGAAAATGCCATGAATACCACTCCCTAGAAAAACAATTATAGAAGTAAGAAAAACAAACCAGTAAAAACCAAAAACAATAAATTTCAAAGTACTGCGCCATCAAAAGCAAACAAACCTCACTCTCATTGAGAAAGTGTTGATATCTTTATCAAGGGTATCAAGAAGAAAAATTGCCTGAATGACCATATTATCGACCCTGTTGACATTGAACTTGACCTTTGCTCTGCTATAACTATGGCCCAAACCAAGTTGAGCTTTCTCCAGATCGTTTGGCTACAAAATAACACAGATAAGAAATTTTAAGCTAAAGTTACACTACCTTCAATTGGGAATCAATAGAAACCCCCAGCCCACCTTTAAATCCTTGATCAACCTATCAAAGTGCAACCGGACACCACGGAGAAGCTCCAAGACAAAATCGTTGCTCTGGCACGGAATCTTCGTCACCTCCAAGATCTGGGACCCGACCTTCGGCTCGGCGACTCCGAGGCTGAAGTTGGACTTCTTCCCTTCCTTACGTTTAGGGAGATTGAGCTCCAAAAAATTCCTCAACTCATCGGTCATAATTCCTGCATCATCAAATCATTGATCTCGAGAACTCGTAGATGAAAGGAGAAGCGCGGTTAAAGCTAAAAGCATAATACCTTCGGATACAGCGTTGCACTGGTTCAGAGCATCGAGTGCAGAGGAAAAAGGGCTGAAAGCTGCAAGCTTGACGACCTTGCCGAAGCGACTAAGGTCGAGAACCGAATCGCGTATAGCGTCGATGCTCTGGCCGATCTCGTCGAGGCCATGAGCGAGGAAGAGAGAGTAGCCAGAGGCAGATTCGAAAAGGAGGTAGAGTGCCATTCGCACGGAAAACAGACTCCTCTTTCTGTGTGTGCTAGGGTTTTACTTATATCGGGGTCGGGATTCGTCACCGCGGGGAGAAAATTCTGTGGGGAGGTTTAGGAGGAGAAGCATTGCTAGGGTTTTGGGAGGTAATTTGGCGGAACTTAATTAATTAATAGTTCTAATTTGTTTAATTTTATTAATTTCGGTCAAAATATTAAAAATATATATATTAATTTAAGATAATATTATAATAAATTGATAAATAAAATTAATATTTAGGAGAATTTTAATAAAAAAATCATGTAATATTAAACATTAAATACTATATTTAAATAGATGGTGTCTTAAATTTTTATATATTTTGAGTATATTTTGTATTAATTATTTTTTAAATGAGCTAGCTTTTGAGCTAACAAGTCGAGTTGAGATTGGCTTGAGCTTTGTTTGTTAGCTCATCAAGCTCAGTTCATGAGTCACTTATAAAGTAGAATTCGAGCTAGCTCATAAGTCGACTTTGATGAGTTACAACCCTAGGTTCACCCTTCAATTAGTGATTTGGCTTTGTTATAAGTAGTCTGAGTTGTGTATGCGAAATATAATGTAGTTGAGTATGGTGTAAAAATGGTTAGTTTAGATGCATCGATTTATGCAACAACAACAATAACAACAAGCCTTATCCCATTAAGTAGGGTCGGCTACATAAATCTTTTTTCTCTATTGCGTCCTATTGTGTCGTATTTTCTTTTATTTCTAATAAATCAAGATCATTTTTTATACAATATGCCCAAGTCTTTCTAGGTTTACCTTTTCCTTTCTTAACATATATCGAATATAAAACATCTACTGTCCTAATCCGAACATCTACTCTCCTAATCGGATCATCCAGATGGTCGATGTTTAATGAGACCAAACCATCTAAGATGTCTCTCTCTAATTTTTTTTTGTCACTGGCGTTGCACCATCCCTATCATGGATATATTCATTTCACATATTGTCTCTAAGTGTAAAACCACTCATCCACCTAAGCATTCTCATCTCGGCAACACTAAGCTTAGTTTTATGCTTCTCTTTTAAAGACCAACATTCAATGACATAGAGCATTGTAGGTCTCATCATCGTCTTATAAATATCTTTCAGTCAAAGCAGCACTTTTCTATCACATAATAGGCCCGAAGCATTCCTCCACTTCAACCAACCAACTTGAATTCTACTAATAACATCCCCATATACATCACTGTCACTTTAAACAATAGACCAAAGATATCTAAAGCATTCACACCTTTAAATAATTTGATCACCAATACTTACAACTCTATCACTAGAGGTACTACTACTAAAATTACATTTCACGTAACTAAAATTACATTTCACGTATTAAATTTTACTTCTACTCAAATGAAAGCCTTTAGATTCCAATATAGACCTCCATAACTCCAGTTTTTCCTAAGCTTTTTCTCTAGTCTTATCCACAATAAGGATATCATCAGTGAAAAGCATACACCAAGATACATCCTCCTGTAAATGTCCGATAAGAGCATCCAAAACATAAGCAAAAAGATACGAGCTAAAAGTCGATCCCTGATGTAATCCAACTGAAATAGGAAAATATTTGATCAATCGTCCTATTCAAACACAAGTACCAACTTAAGCGTACATATCTTTAATGACTTGAGTATAAGTTGTATCAATACTCTTCTTCTCTAGAACTCTCTGAATGATATCTCTTGGAATCTTATCTTAAATTTTGTTTAAATCAATAAAAATCATGTGTAGATCCTCCTTATTCTCTCCGAACTTCTTCATCAAACCTCTCAATAAATGTATAGCTTCCATAGTAGGCTTGCCCGACTTTAATCCAAATTTATTATGAGAAAATCTTTGCAATACGACTTAACCTATGTTGAATGACCCATCAACTTAATTCCTCTACAATTTGCACACTCTTGTGCATCACTTTTATTCCTAAAAATGAGGACCAAATACTCATCCTTCACTCGGGCAACTTTTTAGTTTTTAAAATAATATTAAAGAGTTTATTAAACCAAGAAACTCTCAAATCTCCTATATATTTTAACACTTCAAATTGGATATCATCAGATCCTATAGATTTTTCACCCTTGGTTTTCCTTAAAGCATCCTCAACTTCTTTTTTACTAGTGTGACGATAAAAATGAAATTTATTATTATTATTATTAATGATATTAAGATCACTAAGCTCGATTATATTTTCAGAATTTTCATTAAAAATTTTATCAAAACAACTCACCCACCTATGTTGAATATATTTTTTCTAAGAAAAGTAATTTTTTATTTTCATCTTTAATACACTTTACTTGAGTTAAATCTTTACTTTTCTTTTCTCTTTTTCTGGCTTGTTTATACATATATTTTGCATCCTCTTTAGCATCTAATATATTATAAAGATCACTAAAAACAGAATTTTTTGAATCACAGATTGTTTTCTTTGTCTCTGTACATGTCATTTTATATTTTTTTCCGGATATCTAAACATTTACATTTAAAACAAAATTTTTAACATCACTTCTTATATTTTATCATAAACTATTTTTATTTATAAAAACTTTTCTTTTGATTCTCCAAACACATCTTTTTTCACTTGCTTAATAGTGTTTGTTACTTTTTCTCACAAAGAATTTGTTTCTTCTTGAACATCCCAAATCTTGTAATTTTAAAGTTTACTCATAAAAGTAATTTTATTTGTGACTTTTAAGTACCCCATCTAATTCCAGGACAATGATTCCTAATATTCTTTATATTACAACTCATCATCTTAAAATTCAGAACTAATAATCGTTGTTGAGTACTTGAATCTTTTATTAGAATAACCTTACAGTCTTTACATTCTCGACAATCTCTTCTTCTCATAAGAAAATAATCAATTTGTGTTTTTTTAGATTCATTTTTATAAGTAATAACATGCTCATCTCTTTTCTTGAATAAAATATTAGCAATAATAATAACATACTCTAAAGCAAAATCTAATTTGTCTCTATCTTCTTCATTAATAACTCCAAAATCATAGCCACCATAAACATTTCAAAAATCTTTTACCACAGTACCGACATATCAATTTAAATCTCCTCCAATAAAAATTCTTCTTCGATAAAATCTTCTACCAAGCCACCTAAACGCAATATTTTTTCTTCAATTAGAGAGTTTTTTTGGATGTTTTATTTTCCAATATAAAGCTAAGATATATGAGAAAAATGTCAAAAGAGATTATTGCATTTAGGGAATCTCTAGCTCTGTACATAATTCTATTATTCTATAAAGTTCTTGCTAGGAATAAATTTGAGATGGCTTGAGAGTTTTAGATGGAACCATAAAAAGTGAATTGTTTATATTTATGTGCATTAATCAAACTCTATGGCTTTTAATAGCTTGTTGATATAAAAAGCATATGTTAGTGTTCAGTTGAAATAATATAAGTTAAAATCTATTTTATTTATAGTGAGCATAAGAAGCTCACCTAAGAAAAACGAAATTATAAACCTTCATAATACTATTCTACCATTTATGTCAAAAAAATAAGGGATGCAATTGATAAACTCTAGCAAGGAAAGTAGTACAATTATCCATAGTAATGTAAGTAGAAGCTCACCTAAGAAAAACGAAATTATAAACCTTTATAATAATATTCTACCATTTATGTCAAAAAATAAGGGATGTAATTGACAAACTCTAGCAAGGAAAGTAGTATGGTTATCCATAGTAATGTAAGAGTCAATTTTACAGGTAAGGTATAATAGCTTATCCCACTAAGGAATTTAGTAAAATCATTTTTGTAATATTTAAAATACAATGATTTTTTTTCAAAACAAGGCGCTCATCATTTAAGAATCAAGATCCTCCATTTTATATATTTTTTAAATCCTCAATACAATATATATATATATATATATGAGGAAAGAACATACAAAGACTACATTTTAACCATCATTTTTTGTTAACATCACAACCAATCCTAAAAAATTATTTTTCCATACACAACCTATTAACAAGAGATTCTAATTTTTTATGCCTTACATGACTTCATCCTCTATGAATGAGATTCTCTCATATGCATCATCAATTGATAAGATAGAATAATAAGACCTTAAAAGTTCAGTGGAAATAAGACTTTTTCCTTAATTAAATTCTTGTGAAGATTTAACTAGACAAAAAACCATAGCAATAAGGGTGCATTTATGGAAAATGCTTTGATAGTATGAAGGGAGAATACTCAAAAGATCAAGAAAATGAAGAGTCAAAGGATTAAGATGTTTTGTTTTTTTTAATCCTACTGGCTGCCATCTTCTTAGGCATGTAAAAAGGGTGTCATACAATAAATACCATCATAATAATGACACATAAAATTATTATAGCACCAAAGAATTGCAGCTAAATATTTTACGAACACCATTGTTAAGAGCTCCACACAAAAGTTATAATCAGCATTTTAATTATTCAATGTTTATTAAGGGAATTGTCACGACCACAACACGCAGTAGCTGATCGTCAATACAGTAATTGGGAGCAAATGGGAAGATCCAATCCAGAGTGGAGCACTTGAAACAATACTATTTACAAATCTAGCACTCTCTTTCATCCACTTTTCTAATTCTTACTCAGATATCAAAATTCAAGATAAAACCCATAATCAATTTTTTTTTTTTTCATTTTTATCAAATTCTCGATGATTTGATCGTGTCACGCATAAATGCATCGGTTCGGTAGTTTATGGAAATCATATGGGTGCTAGTTTTGTACATAGCAATGTTTCGAGTGCTATGTAATGGGTATTGGGATGCGATAACAGTGCTAAGATCAATTCACTCCTACCCAGTAAAAAGGGTAAAAAATAATGGGAAAAAAAAAGGTTTCAAATTGTGCCGGCTGGGATCAAGTGGAGTTTGTAGATATATTAGGCTAATAAGGAACTCAATTGAAGCTGTGGAATTTCCTTGTTCAAATATAAACTTTCGCAAATTGCAAGGAACAAATAAAGGCTGGCCTTGACTCAACCAAATTCGAACTGGTTGTCTGATTACGATTCGGATGCGATACTACTGATTCTAGAAGCAATCTTGGCAGTTCTGTAGTCATCTCTAAGTTGAACAAATCTGCAAGGGAAAAAATGA